AAAAAAAATGTTCATTAATTAGTGTTAGTGCGTGCGGTTTAAGAAAAGTATAAGATTTGTAAATGAACGAAATATAAAATAATTATGACGATAATTAGCCCATTTTGAAAAAAAGGTTTCAAAGATGAAGCAGCCGGCGTTATCAAAATCATATAACGATAAGGAATCGAACGACGTATACCGTATCAACTGCTCTAAACGTCACAAATTATCTGCATTAAAATATATACTTAATGTCGCACTCAAAGCGGGAATAAATGAACATCATAATTAACACTCACTGTAAACTATCGTGTGCTATACGTTCGGGGCATTTGTTTATACAGTCAACTGCCTTTAATTCGAACAGCAGTTTTCCGAGGCCATTGTCCGAATTACCGTAGATAGACGAACATCGATTCACAATGTGACAAAGTAACCACAAATTTTATTATAAAATATGGGATATTTATCGTTCTAAGGATAACTGTCTATACTGTAACCTACGATAATATAAACTCGGCTAATTAGTCGACGAATAACTAATAAATTATTAACGTCATTGTTACCCGTTTTCAAGAAACGATAAAGAGTTTCTTATTACAATTTAGAACATCTTGAATGATATCGTCGTTATTTAGCTTGCTACAGAATTCTCCACATCGTCGACAGTAATAAATTCCATACGTTAGTGTAAGTATAGAAAAAAAATAACCTCAACCGTCTCTTTGACGCTGTAGGGCTTTGGGGCGTTTTTTATCAGTATTGTTTTTAACGATCCGTCAAACTTTTTGCTGAATTTTATTAAGCGTCCGAATTGACTATATGGAAATGATATAATGGACAAATAGAATTGGCTTTTACAATACTTAATTCATACAGTTGATCACTTACAACTGTCCGAACCGAATTATCGAGATTTCATAATTATGGACGAATAAAAGGAAGGAATTTAATATAAAAAAAAAAGAGTCCGGAGTTAAGCGTCCGGATTATTATTATCAATTATTATTATTATCGAAAATCCGAATTAAGGAGGGGACGAATTAATATTAAAGGCAGTTGACTGTAGTACTACATGCAACAAAACGTTAACCAATAGGATCTTTATATTTGATCAATGATATCAGATAAGCTATAAATAGATAGCGAATAGGTTGGCTGCGTTTACGAGGTATAGTCTAGATTATATTGTCGCCTCCATTTGCTAATTGTTAACCGTTACATATCTTGTAGTTAGTCAAAAGCTCAGTCCCTGTTATCTTGGTACGAGACGAAAGAAATTTTTAGACGCCCAAGCCCAAATAGTTTGGCTAATTAGCTTCTAGCTCAACCATCACTGAATTTCTCCACGACAAGCGCATCTAGTGCTCCATTTACAGCGGTATCTTTTACATCAATGCTGAATAGCACTATATACCAAGGTAGTTTTCCTAAGCTTATGGGCAAGCTGATTGAACAAGGACGCACATCAGCAGATGCGCAGATAAAGGAATTGCTAACGGACATACAATATCCAGAGAACCTCTTCGCTCTCAAATACATTCTTGAACATGAAGGAAAATCTGTATCATCTGAGATATTGATTGCGGCTATGGAGAGACTGTATCCTCAAAAAACCGATAAAATTTTTCTAAAGGAAGCGCCTGTTAAGTTAGAGTGGCAACTGCGAATCATTGTATTCATATTGGAGCAATTGTGTGAGCGCGAATCTCAATTCACATGTCAATTTCTTGATGATACTAGAAACGCTGTCTCTGTGTACAAAAAGACACACAAAAAAATCATGCAGCATGAAGGGAACGTCTGGAAAACCAATTGTGCGGAATTTAATAAAGCGAACGGACATATCAAAAGCTTTAAATGCAATTATGATAATGCATATCTCTTCAAAATTATTAAAAATATGTTAAATAGTATTTGTGGTGATAAAAACTACCAGCAGACAAATTTAGATCGAGCGATTGCAGCATTAAAAGCTCTACTTGTTTCTGCTCCTGCATTAATTAAAATTGGGCTTAAAGTGACCACTAGTGTTGAAGTTCCTCTTGGTGATTTTGACTTGGAGAGAGCATGGAATTATCTCACGGAAGCATTCCAGATTGAATCATCAGGTGAACCATGGTACACAACTTGGAGAAGGCTTATTAAATTGCAGGAGACGCTTGATAAGTGGAGTCAGGAAAAAGATTATGGAATTCCAATAGCCTTTAAGGAACGATTGTTTCTTGAATTTCTCTGGTTTCATATGAGTTTGTGTTATTCTGAGAATGCAGCTGTGAACCAAGAAGTTAGTGATGTGCTTTGGTTTGGGATATTGGATCTTGTTCAACAACTTATCCAGAATACATCTTCTGCGGCTACACAAGCTATCTGCTATTATCTAGCATTAGATTCACTCAACAATGCAGTCAGTGAGTTTATTCAATTCAAGTCAATTGAAGTCTTATTGAGTCTTGAAGCTAAAAACAAGGAATTGTTTGTTACAACACCTGATGATATTGCTAGTTGTGATGAGGAAGATTTACCAAAACTGGTGGAAATTTATTATTATTTGAAAGAAAAATTAGAAATTGAATCAAAGCTGTGCTTGAAATATTCACAAGACACAACAGTGGTGGTGAATCAGGATGTGAAAGGCAAAGGTAAAGGAAGGTGTGATGGTAAAAGCCCAGTCGACTATATTGCAGAAGATTTTAAATGCCCAATTACTTGTGATGCTGTTGAAGGGTTATATCAGCTCAACTGTCAACATTCAGTCAGTCCCAAAGTTTTTTCATCTTTGGAGAAACAGGAATGCCCCTACTGTAGAACTGAAATTAAAAAAAATTGTGTGTATTATCTGCCACAGCAGACTATATACAACAACATTCAACATTACATCACTGATGATGATCAGGCTGTTTATGACTCAACTATTGAAAACAACACAGTTGCAGAACTAGTGGTTCAACATGATGATCTTAAAAAACAAAAGAAAAAGAGTAGGAGGCAGTACAATTCTGGTTCTACTTTGAACACAATTTGGAAGACAATAACAGCACCAAATATAAACAAGTTGCTTCAAAAGGCTAAAATTGCATATGAAAATGAGGACACGGAAAAAGCTTTAAACATATACTCACAAATAATACAAGCTTATCCCACAAATTGTGTGACTTTATTTAATAGAGCATGGGTCAAGCTAAAAATGGGGAATGTTCAAAAAGCTCTGTTTGACATTGAGACAGCAATTGAAGTGAACAGTGTTTGTGATAATACTTGGTACCAGAGCTTAAGATTGTATGTGAGTCTTCAAAATAAGGAAAAAGTTGAACAAGATATTAAGCCAATTACAGATGATAGTATACAAGTAAATATAAATACATTCTATATAATCTATAAATTTGTAAACAGCCTTGAGCACTTTGATGTAAAATGGTTTAAACTTCTTGTGGATAGTCATCCTGTTAGAGCAATGCATAAGTTAAATAACATCAATGAGTGGCAATTATTGTGTAAGCATCAGTATGGAACAGATGATTACACCAGATGGTACAACACTGCTGTAACATGGCATAACAATTACAACAATGCTCCACATAATCACACGTGTACTGACGCGTTTTTTGAAAAAGTTTATTATATGCATAGAAGTAAGGGGTTGTACTTTAATTAAATAATTTATATATTATCATGCACACTAAAGTACTTTATATTATATGCACATTAAATTATTTATATTTACTATTATTAGGTCATTTGAAGGCAGATTTTATGTTTGAAAGTCATAGCAAAGATCCTGACAAATCATTATCATATATGTAAGTAATTTGATGACGATTATTTGTTTATAATAGCATTATTATTATGCTAACAATTTATATTAATAGTAATTATTATTGTTTGCTAATTTATGGACCCAATAAAGTAAGTATTTAAATATCAATACAATAGTCTAATGTCTTGTATTGTATTGTGAATATTAACTAATAAAACAATTATATATTAGGTAACAATACCCATATTCAAAATACCTCCAAATAAATACAAACTCAGCATTTTGTTGGATAGTGGATGGAGGACACCAACTATTACAATTGTAGTACGTATTCGATAAGTCTTATTGATTCAGTCATATTTGTGCCACGTTATAACAGACGTTGTTTTTGTAGACAACTATAAAAATGTCAACTGAAGAAATACAATATAAAATGGATATTGGATATCGTCAGTATCGTACTGAATACGTTTTACCATGTACGGTTAATGTTTCATCAGAAGATAACATTGTTTTTGAATTTGATATCAGTGGAAATGATAAAGTAAGTATGGTTTACTTATTCAGCTATTTTTAATGTAAGCTACGTTCACTCTATTCTAACTTTAACTGTATTACAGACACGCGTATATCTTTATTGGGTTTGTTTATACTCTGAAGAAAAATTACGAGCAATGCAAAATAAATTAAAAATTAAAACACAATTAAGCGGAGTAAAACTAATTGACTATAAACAGTTTAATTGTGTAAACACATATTTATTACACTAAAATAAATCACGATATATTAATATTGATGTTACTCAACTGTTCGCATCATAATAAAGTAAAGAAATTTATTTATTTTGTGATTTTTATATAAATAAGCTATAATGACCCATTGGCATAAGCCAGAAGGATTTGGAAACTAGCAAGTGCTAGAAATGCTCGTAAAAAATTATTGTAATCGAACATCAGCACTGCACTCGGTGAATTTGGTTATCAGAACGTAAGTTTGCGTTTGCTGATTATGATTATGATGGTAAGGATGGTGATCATCATCCTGACATTATACGACACGTACAAACTCTTGCGCTTGTCCATCCGTAGCGTATAGTGGACGAAGAAAGATTTTAAACAATAATACAATAAACGTTTATTAATTAAAATAAAATATCTATCTATAAAATTCTATCAAAAATGCTTACATCGAATTCTTTCTGGAGTACTAGTTTCTTCATCATCATTAGTTGTGTTCCGCGCTTGCGTTGTGACACCGATGATTACCCAGCTTTCCAATTAGCCGCTTCAGCGTCTATTGGCCGTTCTACTCCACCCCAAGCATTGCCTTTCCCGAACACATTCCTCTTCAAAACATCACTACAGTACGGCCCGCAGCATTTACCCATCTTGCAGAGTTCAACGAATGGTTTACTCTGCACCATCGGCCATTCCTCGACAATTTCGTTCACAAATTTCACC